CTCAAAGAAAGCAGACGGTACCAGTTTTGTATATTGCTCTGGAGCTCACATTTTAACACCACAAACATAAAAAACACATTACCGCATTTGCCATAGTCTTATCTTTCTCACGGTATCCATATTTTGGCACTCAGACTCCTGCTAATTTGTTAAAAGGAGTTAGGGGTTTTGTTGAAAATCAGCGTTTCTCAGATGGGAGTGAGACGAGGAGAAAAGGTGATGTCGTGATCTTCACAATAAAACATCTCTGATGTGACGTGTCAAGTCTTGGCCAATCAGCATTAAGATGTCTACAGCGTCTTTCCCTCCGTTAAAGTTTAAGTTCCGTTACCGTTCAGACTTGCTGGGTTAAGTTAACGTCCACTGCATGCGGAACTTTGTTGACCGTTAACGTTCGTCATTATCACGATTTAGGAGAAAAAACATAACGTGATGAAACATGCAACCCCCCCCCCCCGTGTTCCGGTTCAGTTCACGCGGTCACTCGTTTACGTTAAACCAGAACACCGGCGGATCTGGTTGCAGGTTGTTTGCTTTAACTCAAAGTAGAATGAGGATGATACTGATGAGGTCAAAGAGCTCCAGGAAGAGGATGTTGTGTGTGTAGCGCAGCTTGACGCAGGGCTGAGATGTGAGTGGAGCTGGGCCTGGATAAAGGTGGAGGTCTAAACAGACGCGAGTACAGCTTCCTGCTGTCAGAGTATTTTAAATACATTGATAAGACAGGGTATGCTAAATGCAGCCTCTGCTCCAAGGAGATAAAGTACAGCAACAAGGGCTCACGTGCCCTCTCATCACACTGTTCACTGTAATGACCACAGCCAGTGTACTAACAGTCCCACGTGCAGCTATTATTATTATCACAGCTATTATTTTACTTTTAGAATGCTACATTTTAAAGCTCATATTAAAAATAAAATGCTCCTGGTATGTGTGAGCATATGGCTCACACATATCTGCACTCATTTTGTTTAGTTTTGCACAGGTTGCACGTTATTGTTGTTTTGAAAAGATATGCAGTGTAAAACTCAGTAAAACTCTTTATTGCCAAATATTTGAACTTGTTTAGTTTTTTCACAGGTTGCAGTTTATTGTTATTATCTTAGAAAGATATTCAGTGCAAAACAGGTTAATTGCAGCCACAATAAGCTATTTTTTGCCAAATATTAGTTATTTTTTGCACAGATTGAACTTTAATTGCATTGTTCTAACAAAGTGATTGCACATTGTATTTGTTTTTGTCTGATGGAGCAATCTGGTTTACTTGAAAGTGATTGCAATTTTCTTTATTCTATTATTTGAAAAAACACAGATGGAGGAGTCAAAATGTTGTTATTTCAATAAAAGTTCAACATGGACCATTTTGTTACAATTTTGTTGGGGTGGTGGGGCATGAACATTTTTCTTCCTCCAAAGTGGGGCGTGACAGAAAAAGTTTGAGAACAACTGCTCTACACACACACACGACATGGAGATATTCAGTCAAAGGCATTGTTAGACCTCCTGTCTGTCTGTCTGTCTCTC